GGATATATAAACAATATATGCTGGGCTGAGGACAGCATGAAAAACAACTGAAGTGGGGAAAAAAGAGAATACAGATAATAAGCATTGAAAGGTGGTCGTATTCTACCCAGTTAATGTGATACTGAATTAAAGGGGTGTTATACATGTAAGTGGGAACAAGCTTCTAGTTTAAACTATGATTTGTAAAATACTTACTAACCTGCATGGAATTTCTTTTGGATTGTATATTTGGACTTGGCTTGCCCTGTCCTGAATGAGTCTTCTGTGATCCTGTATGTGCGAGAGGTGTAAGGGCCTATTCACCATCTAATTTGGATTAGGTGTTTTGACAGTAGTGCGTGCGAGGCAGAGCATAAGGCAGATCCAGTATTTCTTCTTCACTAAAGAGTATGTGAGGGTGTATTTATACAGTGTTTCACTAAAAATGTATCCTGTCAAAAATGAAGCATTCATCAAAATCCGAGCCATCGCTGTAAACGAAATGAAGTTTAGAAATGCTGCGTTTAGGGGTTTGAAGTGTATTGTCCTGTCCCCCAACCTAAAATCAGACATTGAACATTGAAGCAGTGTGTTTACAAGTGTGTGTATCTATTAGAGGGGAATGTTTAATGTCTGTGTTGGAATTCTCATGTGCTTTTATTCCTCTCCCATCAAGTTTCTGGCTTTTTCTTTTAAACTGTTCCCAGATGTTGTAAGAGATGAAGTGTTTTACAGTGCTGTTAGATTTCTTGAAATCATGAGATCTGTCTCCTGGCTTGTCATAGCCCTTGGGAAATTTGTGCCTGTAGGCTGAGAATGACTGTGGTAAATGTGCAGTGCAGCTTAAGTTCTCCTTCTTCCTTTCATCTAGGGCAGGAGTGGGGGAGAGAGGGAAGTGGGGTGGGCAAAAGCATCCTGTTCGTGAGAGAGGTTTGTAATATAAGCAAATTTGAGTACCATGAATGAAAGGGTTTATCAGAAAATGTGTTTTTCAGTATCTTTGAGTGTATTCTGTCTTTTCTACTGGGAATTAAAGAAATTGCTTCAGACGATGCTGTTGACTTTCTAACAAAGTGCAGTTTTGTCACTTGTTTACTGCTTTTAGTAGTTTTGGTTTAGCGTTCATGTAGTGTATCTAGACATGCTTCTAGTAAGCCTTTTGTAATACACTCAGTTTGTTATGTTAGGTTTAGCCAGAACTTCTGCTAAGAGTCTCTTCATAGGCTGGAATTACTGGGAAAAGAGCTGATAATGTTTCTCTTCCATAAACAGTTGTCAAAAAAGTACTTTGCTTAAAAGACTAAACCTCTTTGGTAACTCTGAAGCCAGAGTTGTTACTCTTGAGGTTTTTTTTACCTTGGGTGTAATAGAATCTGGGGAATGACTGAAATATTTCAAGCCCTATCTGGAGTGTGAGGGGAAGATAGTTGGCAAAGACTTCTAAATAGTATAGTTTTGTTTAGCCTGGAAGGATAGTGTGACTGAAATGACTTCCTGACATTACATAGCTACTTAATATAACCTGTGATAGCATGAAGCTTCACAGTAGTCTGTTTTGCAGGGGGGAATCCAAAATCCTGCTACCTAAATCCAGCTTGTGTAGTGAAGAACTCCGAGTTAGCTATGACTGTTAAAGCAAGGAGCTGGAAGATCTGCTTTGTGTAATTCCACTGGTTGATGCCATACATGAACATGCTGCATGCTGGTCTCGCACCATGGCTGGAAATGCTCTATGGGGGCAAGGGTGTGATAACTTGGGTTTCTCTGAAAGGACATACTGACTGCAAGAAAATCGAGGTTTACTCAGGGCAGGAAGTTAGTTTGGCAATTCCCTTGTTTATTCTGTGTAAAAGCTATTTTGGCAGGTGCTGGTTTCATGAAGAAGTGTTCTAGACAACTCTGATCTGAATAGGAGTTTATCTTTTAGGGAAGATTAATATATCTTAATGTTCTTGACATTGGTAGGAATAAAAATAGGGCATAGAAAACTTCTGCTCTGGAGCACTACCTGTCAGGCTATGACCTATTAGTAGTATAATAGCAGTTTGTACTTCTTATTTTGTCCTTTATAATCTGCTTCCCTCATGCTGAAATGGATATTCAGTTAGTCTCTAGCATGTTGCTGTTGTAGAAACTATCCTTTACTGTCTATGCTGAAATAAAATCACTGGTGTTTTTTGTTCGTCTGTTGTTTTAACTTAGATTTTATATTTCTTTGTGATCTTCAGTCTTGTTAAACAAACTTGCTTTGATTCCTTAGAACACAGCAGTTTGCACAGATGGGGAAAAGAGTTAAGTGAAGATTGCTCTTGGATCTTGCATTCTTCACTGAATCTGATGTGCTGTGTTCTTCAGAGATGAGTTTAGTTTCCTTACGTCTGAAACACTCAAGGAATTTACCCAAATAGGTTGAAAGGTTTCTTTGCTTTGCACGATTTGACTAGCAGAACTGGTGTTCTTGAGAATAAGGCTAGTGAATGTTCAAGGTGCATGGGAAATGGTTTACCATTCTGAAATTCATGTATGAGAGAGCTGGGTGATGAAGAGGTTTGCCCTTGGAAACAAGATGCCAGTCCTTTTTGGCTTAGCACCCTCTAGAAGAAGATGCACATAAACCCAAAGCCAAGCACCCCAAATCACTAATTGCATAAAGCCTCCTCACAGCTGAATAAATGTAAGTAAAAGAAGTATTTATGTCTGTGCTGTAATTCAGGAGGCACATAGTAGTGCCAGTCTTAAAGAGAATGCTTTTGCTTACTTGAAATGTAAACAGCTTTACCAGATAACTGTCATCTTAAGATAGCCCTTTTTGAAATAAAAGACAATTACCAGGCAGTTACTGCTTTTGATTTTGTAATTTAACTGCTCTGTGCCCAAGTACATCATGTGTCTTAAAGTTCTACATACTGAGTGAAGTGCAGAGCTGTCTGGGCTGCTTAAGAACTGATAAGGAAAAAGAACCAGGTATATTTAATTACTCACATGGTAAGAGGTACCTTTGTCTTTTCCCAGAAGCTTGGCAAATACATGTGGGAGTGAGTTAGCAGAGGTTTGCTCTACGGTTGTGATTTCATGGTGAACTACAAACCTGGACATCTGTGAATCAGAGTTGTGAACACTGCTTTGTGACAATAAAACAAATGTAGAATTTATGATAGATGTCACTATAAGGAATTCACATTTGCTTGTTCTTCTGAAACAAAACTGTTAAAACTTTTCCAAGTGTAATGACTAAATCTTGTGGTAGACTCTGAATGTATTCATGACATTCAGAATGATGTTTCAAAATGAAGAGAAAACTCTTCGCTGCTCATGGAACACAAAAATTACAGTAACTTAATATCCCCTCTGTTGAGTAATTTGTGTTCCTTTTGGATTTTTCTGCTGTGGGTTAAGGAATGAACGGCTTTTTGAAAGCCTGATTTACCAGGAACAAGAAGTTCATGTATGATCACTCTTGTGTTCTGTTAGTTTGCAGCTGGTGGGGCTGCAGACAGAGGCTGAAGACAACTAAAATTTGAGATATTTCAGACTTGTAATGTTCCTGCAGGTTTTGGGAAGAGCATTCATTGTACTGGGGATACAATACATGGTAACTGCTGTACTATTGGAAATGAATGCCTGGCATATTAAGGGAGGAAAAAATGCTGCTGAGTTATCTTAATATGCCTGACTATGAATTGATTCAGTCTCTGCTGCTGCTTCTGCCCATTCAGTTGAGCTGTCCAGGCTACAGACAAGGGTTTCCAAACAAGGAAGGAACTGCTGTTACCACTGAGTGAGCTAATACGGGTAGTAATCTTGAACTCCGCAGTATTCTACCCATGTATATATTATATTAGAAAACTAGAACCTAGTGCCTGGATTGGTGTATTACATTTGCAGTAGAAAGCAGGGTAGTCTAAATAATGTAGAGTTTCCATCACTTCTCTAATTTGTTTCTCAGTTTCACCCAGCTAAATTTTTCCTTAGTTACATGTGATTAGAGATCTGTACTTACACTGAGAAGGACAACATATGGTCCTTCTCATGGTCCTACTTAGTCTACGTATCAGGCATTACTCAGTTGTGAAGGAAATCTGCTGTTGATTTGATAGGCAGCTTTGTTGACTGCTGTGTACCCTTGAGAGCATAGAGTACTCAATAAGATTCTTCAGAGCTGGTGTTGAAAACTGGGTAAACTTTAATGGCTCTATGTGTGCAATACACATACAAACTACTCTTAAGAGCTTCTGTATTTCAGGTGTGAATTAAACTGTCATACTGTTCTGTGTATGAACACATACATAGATTATGTGTTCATGTGCACTATGATTAAATGGGAAAGGTTTGATTTTATGCATCTTGCAACTGTGCTGCCTAGAAAGGTGAGATCCTCCTGCTATTTTAGTATGCAGTATCAAGGTGCTGTGTAAACCATATTTGCTGACTGTTCTTGAGATTCTCTTGTAATGTCCACAACAGGATGAAAACCATTGGGGTTTTTGTTTGGGTTTTTCAGTTTTGGTTCGGGTGGGCTTGTTTTGGTTTGGTTTTTATAAATAGGGGTGTTAGAACTGAGTTAAACACTGTGTTTCTATTTGTGTGTAGATTTCCCTTGTAGTTTCAGCTAGAATCATGTACTATGTACATATATTCCAATATTAAAACAGTAAGTGAATTTAAATGTGACTGAAATAGAATTAAATATAGTTAATTCTAATAATACTTTAATTGGAAATGCTGGACACAGTTATTGTTCAGTTCTCATTGTGTTTGGAGGTGTCTTCATTTCAGTGGTGGGTGAAACAACTGTGCTTAAGCTGCTCTCATTTCAAAGCTTGCCATGTAAATATACCGCTTTACTTGGATTTCAAGTTGTTGCACTTAACTGAAAAGAGGAAATATAAGGAAGAGGTTTGGTTGTGCTTGCTTAAGTTCTTCTGAAAGTTTTCCCTTGCAAACTGACATTTTTAATATCAGCTTTAAAAACTCACTAAATAGAGGAAAAAAAAAATCTTTTACTGTCTCTTTCTTTTTAGAGAGGATCTGACGAACTTCTTTCAGGCAGTGTACTCAATAGCCCGAACTCTAACATGAGCAGCATGGTAGTTACTGGTAAGTGATGCCCTTTCAAAGGAGAAATCTGTCATTTATACTTGGACTTATTTCCTATTTACAAGGGGAAAACACTGAAACCAGAATCCGTTGTGCTATAGAGGGATAAACTGTTGTCATGCTGTAGCGATCTTGTGTTTACTCACAAACCTTGGGTATCTGAGAAGGCGAATCCCATAAAACAAGAGGCAACTTTCAGATGTCTGTACACTAAATTGTTGGTGGGTGATGGAATGAAAAATTACACTTGTCTTGCACAGCTGCCTTCAAAGTAAGGAATTGCAACTGCCAAGCAAAGGTAAAGAGCTTAACAACTCCGGGATGACATCCTTTTTCACACGTGGACATCTGTGAGTCTGGGCATGCAGGGAGGAACACTGCCAGTTTTATAACACTGTGGATTCAGAAGAACAGAGTCTTGTTCTGTTTGCTGTGACTGCTAAAGCAGGAAACTTCTCACTTTGCTCCTTCAGCCTGAGATTGCAGCGGTAGAATCTCAGAATGTCAGTGCAAAGTGGGCATGATTGTTCTTTAGGCACATTGCTGCTGATGCTGGCTAGAAAAACTTGAACTGGCACACACTAAAACATCTTCTGTTGCAATTAATACTTCTGTATGGTGAACATGCATTGAGTTCCCTTGGAAGGCTCACTTCAGAGGTCTTTTTCTTCCCCCCAGCTCCAGATGTGGAGGAATTGATTCATGGCATTAGAGAGTGGTGCTGGGCTTTCCAAAGAATTGCCTGGTTCACTGCTTTAATCTGCCTGATCAGTTTTTCTGTCTTTGTGCTGAGCAGTAGAGTAGCTGGTATTAGTAGCAGAGTCTTTCCTTTGAATCTAGTAGTATAAGACTGGGATCTAGGGTGCAATTTCATGTCACATTTAGGGTTGTGATGGCAGCGGTTGCCAGAATGGGTAGTTCTGTGCTTTCTCATCCTACATCCTTAGCACAGGCAGAAACCCTCCCCCAACTCCACATGTTTCTGCTCCATTCTTTATGTTGGATTGCTCATACAGTTGCTAATCCAGCAGTAAACTGTACTGCCAAAAAGTCTAGTTTCCCTTGGAGCAACTTACTCATCAGTCCCATGGCTGCACAATTGCTACATTCACTTTGGGGTGGAGGAGTGTGGTGCAAGAAGAGAGGAGAACCACTTCCATTGGCAGTTCTATAACCAAAGGTGAAGAGATGATACTTCTTTGGAATAGCTCTAAAATGGGATGTAGTGCATTCATAACTCTTTTAGAACTCCAGAACGTTCATTTGTCTTCCCTGCTTTTCTTACTTCCTTCTGCTTCTGAAAGAGGTCCCTTGTTTTCATTTTCTTGATGTCCTCTCCGTTCCTGGATATTAATGCTTCAGCACTTTGCTTTACCTAGATGAGAAACTAGAATGAAAAGGAGTTTGGGTTGTGTGTGGGGGGGAGGGTTTGGATTTGGGCAGTGGGAGGGAGAACACTGTTAACTGAATGTTACCAGATTTTCCATAGATTTTCAGAGAAACTTTTAGTTGAGGAAAACTAAATGCAAGTGAATTTATGAAAGGGAAAAAACCTGAAATATGAATGAATGTCATTATGAGTTTTCAGACCAAAAAATACAGAAGCTTGTCTAAGAAGCCTCGAACTTTAAATAGAAATCCTTTTCTCCTCAAAAAGCTCTTAAAATGAAAAGAGTGCTTTGATTCTCTGGGCACCCTGTGCCAGCGCCTCAGCACCCTCACAGGGAAGAGCTTCTGCCTTGGATTTAACCTGAACTTCCCCTGTTTCAGTTTAAACCCATCACCCCATGTCCTTTTGCTCCAGTCCCCGATGAAGAGTCCCTCTGCAGCATCCTTGTAGCCCCCTTCACACACTGGAAGCTGCACTGAGGTCTCCAGCAGCTTCTCTTCTCCAGGCTCAACAGCCCCAACGTTCTGGTTTTGACCTTGCTGTTTTCAACATCTGATCCCCTGATATTTTTCCAAACACATACCTAGATGAACAGAAGAAACAGTGTTTGTCTTTGTAATCCTCTGAGCCTTATTGGTAAAAGCACAGACAAAAAACCAGTTGTCACTAGCAGTGCCCTGGTAGGCCTGAATTTGGAGCAAAATCTTGTGGTTCACAGCCTCATTTCTTACTAACTACCTACTGTAGAATATTACCCTAAACCAAGTTTTAGGGGTGAGACTGGAGATGTTTTTCAATATGCTCATCTTATCCTTTTATCACACTAACAGTTCCAGTAGGGTTTTTTGTTCCCCAGCTTCCATGCAGTTAGAATATTGTAATACTTTAATGCTTGTATGAATACTCTAGCTCTATTTCTCTTTCTTAGAGAAAGGCATGAAAGGTGCATGCTTTTACTGCCCTATAGGGCGTCTTACATATGAATCCCTCCCTATTTTTGGTGAAAGAAACTTGCAGAATTGTTGGACAGACACTGACTTTGTATTATTGATTATAGAACCACTGGCAATTTGATCATATGGAATTAAGGAAGGTGCTGTCCAAAAGACGTTGCTCAAAGTACAAGGCAATACTTGAGCATTTTCTAACCAGCTTTGTCATCAGTATCCATCCCACAAACTGTATAGATGAGATTGGCAGTGTGTTCTGCTGACACTCACTACAAGTCAAGTGAGTGTGTTAAGTTCCTGTGTGTTTTTTGCAAAAGAACAGCCTTAAAAGAAAGTTGGATAACTGAGGATGACTCCCATGTGAGTTCTTTTACCACATAGTTCTGGTCTTGTACCTCCTGCTTTCCACATAATTTGATTACTGTCCTTAGTGTTGTTGCATTTCATTTCAGTTAAGCATTTCTATTTAAACATTCAAGATGATGCTGCTTTTTCCTCACTGAGTTTGAGCAGTATGGCAGAACATCAGTCTGTCAACACTGAGGGAACAAGCGCATCTACTAGCTCACAGTTTGTTGCAAGGGAGGCCAGCTTGTCATCTTCCAGGTCAGCATTAGATGTTTTAAGTTTCTGACACTGATAAGTTGAAGTTGCATTGTCAAAACCACAGACCTGCTACTTCCTGAACTACTCCTAGTGTTTTCCTTCACCTTTTCTGAAAACATTGTCCAAGTATATGTTATTTTCTATCAGAATCTTGCTTGGTTTGACCTCTTCGGAGAGCACAACCCTCTTGCAAAGGTCTGTGAATTAACTGGTTTTGTTTTGATGCCCAGCAATGACTGGAAAGGCAGTTTAGGTAAACTAAAATATGACCTGGTAAAAGGATTCTGAGAAAACAGAGCTGGAGCCAGGATGTTTCAAACATATTTTTGCCTCTGCATGTTTTTAAAGACCTTAATTACGTGCTAATTAATGTTTATAAGGACCTGTAGTGACAGGACAAGGGGTTCAGGATGGATTCAAACTGACAACAGGGAAAGTTCAGGTTAGATCTAAGGTAGAATCTCTTCCCTGTGAGGGTGCTGAGGCGCTGGCACAGGGTGCCCAGAGAAGCTGTGGCTGCCCCATCCCTGGCAGTATTCAAGGCCAGGTTTGTCACAGGGGCTTGGAGCAACCTGCTCTAGTGGAAGGTGTCCCTGCCCGTGGCAGGGGGTTGGAACTGGGTGATCTTAAGGTCCTTTCCAACCCGAACTAGTCTGTGACTGTCTGTACATTGTAAATGATTGTACATAAATAACTTTTTTACCCTTCAGTGAAACTATGTTCAGGAAATACATAACTTATTTGTTATATGCAACTTAGTTGCTTGTTCTGCAGCTTTTAAATCTAGGGAAATCCCTTCTTTTTAAGAACTTAAAGTGTTTCCTCTCTGCTGGGTTGCTTTTAGGCTCAACTTCTTGTGAGACTTTTTTCTTTTCAGGTGAAGGACTGCCATATGGAAGTTGTAGAAGCAGTTATATATATGAAGATGCTCATGCCATGAATTGCATTGCCAAAACCCACACGCACTCACAAAAATTAAGGGAAGTAGATAAGAAGTGAAAGATGTTGATGAAAGTTTTACAAAATGGCTTGTTAAAGACATGGGGTTGAAGCAGAAGAATTGCCAGGTTTTTTTACTATACATGTCACCAATTTCATTGCTCACATTTGTGTGTTTTAAGTTCAAGCAGTAAAAAACATGTCAAAACTTACTTTGCAACTGAGCTCCCCAAATTCCTGGAGCTTTAAATGATACTATTGATCTTGAACTTGTTTTTACTTCATTAGTAGGGAGTGACTTTGGTAGGTAATTCATTGTAACGGAACACTTGGTACCAAGGCATACAATCAAAGAATGGTTTGGGTTGGGAAAGACCTTAAATCTCATCCAGTTCCAACCCCCTGCCACGGGCAGGGACACCTCACACTAGAGCAGGGTGCTCCAAGCCCCTGTGTCCAACCTGGCCTTGAACACTGCCAGGGATGGGGCAGCCACAGCTTCTGTGGGCACCCTGTGCCAGCGCCTCAGCACCCTCACAGGGAAGAACTTCTGCCTTAGATCTAACCTGAACTTCCCCTGTTTTCAGTTTGAACCCATCACCCCTTGTCCTATCACTACAGTCCGTGATGCAGGTCCCTCTGCAGCATCCTTGTAGCCCCCTTCAGACATTGGAAGCTGCTCTGATGTCTCCAGCAGCTTCTCTTCTCCAGGCTGAACACATCAAAGTAAAATTGGTTATTAGTTAACATTAATGATGCCTAAACATAGGTAATTTACTTCTGGAGCCTGCAAATTGATTACAATTAGTAGTAATTGGAAAGGTCTGAAGGACAGTACATGTGATTGGAAAGAATAAGAGTTTAATAATAGGCTATAATTTAAATTTTTCTATAGACATACATAGACATGTGCATGTGGATGAACTAAATTAATGGTTGGACTTGATGATCTTAAAGGTCTTTTCCTACCTAGCTGATTCTACAATTCTGTTCTATGAGTCTATAAATGTTAATGCTTTGGATGCCTGAACAATGTATCTTCTTAGAAATTAAAAAAACTTTAAAAATCAAACAAAACCCCCAAACCTTCAGAAAGCCTCAGGATCAGAGAAATA